GCTGAGAGGCAATGGGGAGAACTGGGGCAGGATGGGGAAGTTTCCATGTTATGGATAAGATAAAAGCAGGGCTGGAACTTTTAATATCAGCTGCTATCTCTGTCCTGCTGCTGCCGCATCCTCCAGGCTCAGCAGACACTTCCCTGTGCCCTGGGAAGGAAGGAAGGGAGGAATGGGCCGCCGTGTAATCATAGCCTCGTTTGGGTTGGAGGGGACGCTGAAGATCATCCATTTCCGATGGGCAGGGATGCCATGGATCTGCTGGAGGGGTGAGCACCGCCTGTGTTCACCCCCAGAGGAGCTGCCCACCCCAACTCCCTGCAGGCCACCTGCAAGCGATGGAGCCGGTGTTTGCCGAAGGGGAGGGTTCCTCACCGAGGGTGTGCCAGGGCTCCTCACCCACGTCATTGCCCCAGGGATGGTTTTCAGAGCTGGAGCCCTCCCGACATTTTTACCCGGGTTCTTATCAGCTGATTAAGCGCTGGGTATCTCGCTGCCATTCCGTGGGCGCTGTTTGCTCTGCCTGCAGCAGCTCCGCATCCTCCGCCAGCCCTCCCTGCAGGAACCATGCACCCGGGGCAGGGTCTCTGCACCCTGCCCAGGGGCGGGGGGCTGCTCCCGAGCGAATGGGAGCGCCCTGGAATGTCGGTGGCGGATTTTGAAGAGCTGGCTGGCTTTTTGGTGCCATCACAGGCTGCCGGGAGGGATGCACCGAGCGGCTTTTTGGTGGTTTCTAAGCACTGCTGGTGGAGAGAGGCGGGGGTTTGGATGGAAAATGGGGGGGGTTTTGCCGTGTCTGCATTTGTGCAACACGTGGTGCTGCCAGCACTCGTTGGCTGGACAAATCTTCCAGCTCTCCTAGCTTTTCTGGATATACAGCTTGGCCAGCACTGGGAAGAGAGAGGGAAAGGATGAGGAGGAGAGCTGCAAAGAACCTGGCTGCTGTCGGTGGCTGAAGGCAGGGGTCACATCTCCGCTGGATGCTGTGGTGTCCTCACATGGGCTGAGCAGCTCCGGATCAGGGGGATGCACTGGGGCGTTTCTTGGATGCCACGGTTCCACCTCTCCTTACAAATCCAGCACCAGACGGCCACTGGTGTTCACACCCCTCAGTCTCCAGAGCCAGGAAAGCTCTGGGGGAGTCTGTCCAGTCTGAGGTGGGTCACCCAGTCCTGTTCGTGCCCCGCTAAAGGCATCCTGCTGGGGACACACGGAGGCTCTGGGGGATCGGGGAACCTCCCCACCTGCCTGGGCAGGCACGGGAGCCTGTCAGGTGGTGTTTCAGGATGTGCAATGTTACTGGGGAGGTGTTTGTGTAGGAAGCCCTGATGTTGCCTCCCTTGGAAATATCCAGAGCACCGATCCCACCCAGCAAAGTTCTTCCTTGCCCTATCAGAGCCTCCCCTAAGTGCGGATCTGGACACAAAGAGAAAAGGCTGAATGTGCTGCAAACCACCCCCAAAAGGAGCCTTTTCCCAGTCCCGCCCATCCTTTGTGACGCTGGCAGAGCAGGGGACTCACCTTTGGCCACTGGAGAACCTCTCCTGCCCCAGCTGAGCCTTATCTGGGCAGCCCGGGAATGCAAACAGCAGAGCCATGAGGCTGCTCCGAGCCCGGCCGGGGCAGGACACAGCCGGGAGGCAGCGCAGCTCCTCGGGCTCTCCACTGCCTGCGCATCCCTCCCACGGGAGCTTCCCCGCAGCCTGCACACTTCTGCTCTCGGCAGCCCCCAGGTGAGTCCTGCTCCATCCCTAAACCTGTTGAGCTGGAGAATGGGAAGGCAGGTGTGGCGCAGCACAGTGAGAAGCCCCTTCATTCGCAACAGATCGGCTGCTTTAGCTAATCCTGCCGTGAATCCGATAAATTCCTGGCACGGGCTTTCCATGAGGAAGCGCTTTCCCAACGCCTGGTGTTAAATGTGACCAGGTTGGGGCTGAAGTGCGTACACGTGCATTAGCTTGATTGCAGCTGTAATTTCCTCGAGCAGATCCCACAGAGACTCAAAAATAAACTGATGTGTGCTCAGGAGGGGCCGTGTGTGTGGAAATCAGGGACTGGCCCGGGGTTATTCCCAGAAACGTTTTGGGTGGGTGCATCCCAAAGGCAAATCCCACCGGCTCTCCGAGGAGAGCTGCAGGGAGGGGATGGGAGAGAGGATGGGGGTCTGCTTTGAATCCCGAGAAATTCCAGGAGCTGAGGGGATGCGGATCCCGTGGCAGCATTTGCTTGCGGCGTTTGAACTGCAATTTGTGATGCAGCTCTCGCTTTGGAAAGCCTAAAACTGAGATGAAGTCTGGGCTCAAGGGCTGAGCAAACTGCGAGCTGCAAGTGCTGGGATTATTTATTTACTCATTTATCCATTTTTTTATTTATTTCAAATAGTCCTTTTTAGCAAATGAGGAGTTTTAGTCCTTGTTCAGGCTGAGCCCGGGTCCGTGCGGGGCTGATGGTGTCCCGTGGGCTGTCCTGGGGACATCCCTTTGTGCACCGCAGGGGCTCCAAGGGTGTGAGGTGACCCAGCAGCATCACTGCCTCTCCTTGGTGGCAAAACCCCGCTGTATTCCCAGCGCCTGTGTCTCACGGACACCTTGAGGAGTTATCACGGGCATCTGTAGTAATCTCCCTTGTAGTCTCCCAGCCGTTCTCATCCGGCACTTGAAACACGGAAATTGCCCCAAGAAAAGAAATCTTTTTACAAGATGGGCCATCAAGGCAGCAGCCGCATCCCGGAATCATCCCACTCAGCAGGGTAATCTATTCAATGGCCGGGATTTATTTTTAACATTCGGCTCCACAGTCCTTTTAACTCAAGCAGGGAAGGGAACATTTTGATAACAGCAGCCTCCAGGTCAAATGTGATGAGAATTCATAACTCGCCACACAGGGGTTTTGGAAAACCAACCAAGCAAAACAATTTCCCGGAATGAGCCGATGGAGATGCGTGTTTCTCTTCACCACGTCGTGCGCAGAGCAGGGAGGCGTTGGAGTGGCTCCTCATTCTCTGCCCACAATTTGCAAATAAAATGCCTCCCGGACTGTTTTAAATTTGAAGGACTATTGCAAGCACGGCTTTGCTGGGCTGCTCATAAGGACCTGAGACATCCGATCTGTCGGCCATCAAAGGAGAAATACGAATTCAGTAATGGGAATGTCCTCATGGTCCTAACTCTAATCAAAGCAGAGCCAGGGGTTTCTGCTGCAGGAGAGTGGCATCAAGATTTAAAAAGGAGCAGAGGGACTCCAGTCCGTGGTGGGCACTGGAGCAACAGCAGGAATGATTTACAGGGGCATGGACTGGCAGGACAGGGGAATGGCTCTAACTGCCAGAGGTTAGATGGGATACTGGGAGGGAATTCCTTTCTGTGAGGACGATGAGGCCCTGGCACAGGGTGCCCAGAGAAGCTGTGGCTGCCCCTGGATCCCTGGAAGTGTTCTCAGACAGTTTGGATGGGGCTTGGAGTAACCTGGGGTAGTGGAAGGTGTCCCTGTCCTAAGGGTACAGGAGCACCATTGGGTGCCCCCAGGACTGGGATGAGCCAGGTCAGACTGGAAGGATCCCCCTGAGCTTTCCTGGCCCTGGAGTCCAAGGGGTGTGAACTCTAGTGGAAGGGGGTTGGAACAAAATGAGCTCCCAGGCCCCTTCCAACCCAAACTACTCTGGGCTGGAAAAAAACCACCACCTAGAAGTCTGAAAATCTAACCAAGCCAAGATGGTGAGAGAGCTGCCAGGGAGCAATATTTTCTTTCTGTTTTATTTTCAAATGACCAGAGTAAATTAAGTGTGCCTGTCTGAAAATGAGAGGCAGGTGGGAAAGGCAGGAGGAAATTTGGAGATTGAGCAGATTATTTTAATGTTAGTGCTGGTGTCTCCCGAGCCCTGTGGGGCTGGGCTGGGCTGGACATGTGTGTTCCACCTGAGCCCCACGGGGCAGCACCTAGGGAGCCTTATCTGCAGGCTCGGGAACACGGCCTTTCCAAACCGCAGGTATTTGTTCTTCATTTCCCATCTTCCGTTCAGATTCCGTATCTGCAGGGAGGCCCCAGGTGCTGCCACTCACAGCAGAGTGCAGGGACAACCAGAGAAACTGGGAATGGGGTTGGAAAAATTAACATAGAATCCCAGAAATGTTTGGGTTGGGACTTAAAGCTCATCCAGTGCCACCCCTGCCAGGGGCAGGGACACCTTCCACTAGCCCAGGTTGCTCCAACCTGGCCTTGAGCACTTCCAGGGATGAGGCAGCCACAGTTTCTCTGTGCAATCTGTGCCACCACCCTCACACCCAAGAATTTCTTCCCAAACTCCTGTGCTGTCCTGGGAACCCAGGATGTAATGAGAAACCCTGTGCAGTTGGAATGGAAAACAATAAAATCTGTTATGCAGCATGGGAAGCAGCACTGATGGGAACAGTCACTGCTTTAATATTTAATTTGATGAGATCCAGCTCTGAGAAATGGATTGGGAGCTGCCACAGCTCCAAGCACAAGCTCAGTGCTGGCAAGGGATTTCCATGGGGTTTGCTCCGCTCCAGACTTATCTGTATTCTGGAAGGGTGACATGGAATGAGGCTCATTAATTATCCCAGCACACAGAGCTGTGTTTCCTGCCATTCCCTTCAATCAGTCAAGCTCTGGACACTTTCAGGGCCTCCTGGACATTGGGTTGTCATTCCAGGTGTGTCCCCTCTGCTGGAGCCTGGCTCCTGGTCCCTGCAGAGCCACTCAGGTGCAACCAGGGGCCATTTCAGGACGGAATTTCCTTGTGTCACCAGACAGCCCAGTGCAGATCCCATTCCATCCTGCCTTTTTCCAGCAGGAACTCCCCATGGCTGTATGGCCTCGTGTCCTGGTGGGACTGGGAGGGGGGAGCTGTGCCAGGGTCTCACGAAACGTGTGCTTTCTTTGTCCTTTCAGGTGGATCCCACACCTTTTCTGTGACTGAGCCAGCAGCAGCGCTGGTTTTTCCCCTTGCACCATTCTCATACCTCCAGAAATCCCTTTGCATGCTCCAGACGGTGTGGGTGTCCCCACCAGGGAGCTGGGCTTTGCAGGAGTCCAAGAGTCACCGCCAGGGCAAGAAAAGGTGCTGGAAATGTAGATTTGTCAGGACTATAATCCAGGTAGGTCATAATTCCTTCCTTGTGTGAAACCATCTGCTTTCTATCCTCATCTGCTTCTCTCTGGTCCATCACAAGACTCCATCCCTGCAGGACACAAATCCCTCACATCCCTCAGGGTTGAAGTGTTAGCAGAAGGGATGGATTTGGAAAAAGCCTTTGGTGTGCTGATGTTTTAGCTCTGGGTGACACACCCTGAACTGTAATCACAACCTTCCCCCTGTGACACTTGCAGCCCCTTGGGTTCCACAGATTCCCTGGGACAAGCACGTGTTGGAAAGGCACTGCAGTGCTTGGGAGCAGTTCCCCACACCAGTCTGCTCCAGGGATGGTCATGGGGCTCCTTGTCTTGGCATGGTGACCCTTCTCACCTGCTCTCCCTGGGCCCTTCCCTCTCTGCCAAGCCCACGCCAGCACCATGGGACACAGCTGCCCATCCCTTCTCCAGGACCTCTCCTGGCTCCCCCTGCCCAGCTGGGGCCAAGGAGGTGGGACCCCAGGTCTTCACCCCAGGGAGAAGAGCCCTCTGTACCCGTAGAGGGATTGTCACCAGGCTTGTCACCAAACTGCCTTCACCTTTCACTCTCCAAAGCCACGTCCCTCCATTTCCCAGGCCTGCTCAACAATAACTGGTTCCTCCTGCTGTTCCTTGTCTCTCCTTAGCACCCATGCCAGAGGCATGTCCCCAGATGCTCCAGGAAAGAAAGAATGTTGAGGAAATTCCAGATATGCCTCTGTTTCTGCTTTGTCTCGGGCATTTTGTACGAGATCTCCCTCTTGTCCAGCTCTGTCTTCTCCTACTTGCCCATGTCCCAGCACTACCTGACACCTGAGCAGGTGCTGAACCTTGGCAAAAGCATCATTTTCCTGGAGACGACGGAGCGCCTGGAGCCGCCCCCGCTGGTGTCGTGCTCCGTGGAATCCGCTGCCCGGATTTACCAGGACAGGCCCATCATCCTCTTCATGAGGGGACTCTCCAACGAGACAGCCTTGGACATGAACACCAGCTATGCAGCCTTCTCCCTCTTGTCTTCTATGAAGAATGTCTTCATTTTTCCTCTCCAGATGGAAACCGTCTTCCAGGAGACCCCTCTGCTCCAGTGGTACAACCAGGTGAGTGTTAAAACAAGTGGAAAACAGGAAAAGAGCCATAACCAGGGGTTGGAAAAGGCTTTAAAAGGAATGAGGAATGCAGGACTGTGTGAAATTTGTGACTTTTATTGTTTTGGTTGGGAAGAGATGCATTTTGGCCGCCTTTTGCTGTGTATTCATCTCTCTGTTTATGGCACACATGATCGGCCTTATCTGGAGAATCGGGTTTTTTGGCAAAGGAAACATCGGTAAAAATAGATTACAGACGTGTTTTGAGAAAACAGCCTTAATAATCTTCCCCAACAGAAGCTGGTTGAACAAAATGTGCTGCCTGAGCACTTGATAGAGCTGCCTCACTCTGACAGAGCCCGCAGGAGATAAGAGATAGGGGAGAGATTTCAGGTTCTATAATAATAGAAACATGCAAAGCCAAGGTGGGATCTGGTGAGCTCCACCCTAGAAAAAAGTTCCTGGCAAACTGCCCACAAGTAGCTTTGGTCAAACTGCTTGGGCAGGGCAGGCAGATTTCCTCCAAACTCTTTCTTCTCCTGAGAAAAACTGACTCCAAATGCGGATGAAAAGCCTCCAGCCTGGTTCAAAGCGCTGGGAGGGATCCGGGAGTGTGTTAAGTGGGTTGTGTCCCACTGAAATAGCAGGGAATGACTCATGGTGGCATTGAGTTAACGCTGTAGGTGCCATCAAACCACCTGGGACACGTTCCTGTATTCCTAATGCTAACAAAGCATTGCCCTGCTCCAGCTCCTTGTCTTATCCCAGTAAAATCCAGCGGCTGCAGGCAGCAGGAGTCTGTCAGCGGCATTTGCAGGTGCAGGTTTATGGTGCCATTTGCAGCCCCGTGGATGGATTGGATCCGTTCCCCGCCCGCAGCATCACATCTCACCTTTCCCACCCTGCAGGTGGTGCCGGAGCAGGAGAAGAACTGGGTGCACGTCAGCTCGGACGCCAGCAGACTGGCGCTCATCTGGAAGTACGGGGGCATCTACATGGACACGGATGTCATCTCCATCCGGCCCATCCCCCAGGAGAGCTTCCTGGCGGCGCAGAAGTCGCGCTTCTCCAGCAACGGGATCTTCGGCTTCCCTGCCCGCCACAAGTTCATCTGGGACTGCATGGAGAACTTCGTTCTCAAGTACAACGGCAACATCTGGGGCAACCAGGGCCCCTTTTTGATGACAAGGATGCTCAAAACGCTCTGCAACCTCACAGATTTCCAAGGCACCGAGGACCACAGCTGCCAGAACATCTCCTTCCTCAACCCCCAGCGTTTCTACCCCATCCCATACCCAGCCTGGGGCCGGTACTACCAGGTGTGGGATAAAAGCCCCAGTTTCAACCATTCCTATGCGCTGCACCTGTGGAACTTCATGAACCGCAACCGCAAGGTGGTGGTGGCCGGCAGCAACACCCTGGCTGAGAAACTCTACAAAACCTACTGCCCCACCACCTACGAGGACCTGATCCAGAATGCCAAGCACAGGGATCTCCCAGGCCCTGAGGACACGGAGTGACATGGAGCACAGAGGAGAGGGGTGATCCTTCCAGCCAAACACAATCCCCACCCTGTCGGTATCCAGCTTTGTAGGAGAAAGAAAGAGCTTTCATAACCACCATTCCTATTCCCTTGGGATGCCGAGAATAGTGGTGGGTATTCATTGGACGTAGACTCTGAGGACACCTTTGCCTCACTTCTGTTTCCTGGTAGGTGCTCATGAATCAAACCTTCCCAAATCTGAGGGATTTTGAAGCTTTCCAAGGGAAAAACTTCGTAAAGAGAGGGATGGCCTCCCACAAGGAATGTTGTCTCTGCTCCTCTTGGACCTACTGGCAGCTTCCCACATCAGAAAAGTTGGAAGCACAACAGACTTTGGACTGGAGCCTCCAGGGCAAAAGAGGAGAAGCCCAAACCAGCATCTTTTCCTGGTCTTTTCCTCACATGGACTTTACACCCTACGTTTTTGAGAGGGACTTTAGTGTGAATGACAGTAAAAGAGTTCATAAACACCACTCCTCTGAGCTCACTTCTTCCTGGAAAATGAGTCACATTTTCCAAAGGTTTGTGCTCCCACACTTTGACTTTGGCTTTTGCCAGGAAGCAGCTGCTCTGCCCCATCCTCACAGGTAAATCCTGGCTGTAGAAAGTGTGCCTGGAAAGGGGATGCTGAGACACCAAGGTAGGATAGGGATGGCCCTCCAGGTTCCCAATTTTAAATAAATGGGATTTATTATGAAATCCATTTTTAAATAAATGGATTTCAATGGTGGTCACCCGTGTCCAGCTGTGCAAACATCCCATTTAATCCCAACAGGGCTCCCAGTGAGCTATCCCCTTCCAGACACTCTCTTTCCCAGGATAATGCCAATCCACCCAATTCCCCAAAGAGAAGCCCAGCTTGCAGATCTCTGCCGAGTCTCTCCGAACAGCTGGTTTTAACTCGGGAGCAGAAAGGTGGGGATCAATCTCCGTCATCCAATGTTTGCCATGTGCACAATGCTATCTCCTGCAAACACAGCAGCTGCTGAGCCGGCTGCAGCTCCAAATTTGGGATCCAGCAGGAGAAGGGAGCCCTCTGCACACAGGGTTTATGTGCTCCTGAGTTTGGGCAAGGGGCTTCTTCTTGCCCTGTGTTTCTCCAAAGTCACTCCAGTGTACAGCCAGGTGATGCCATGTGATTGTTGGAGCAGGAACAGGAGGGAATATTTTTCCTCTCCCTTCCCTAATGCGATGCTCTCATGGCTCAGCCCCTGCCATGAGTTTCACGCTCTGGTGCCGTCCACTCCGGTGACAGCCCTGATTGTTCCCCGCTCCTTTTGATCCCTCACACTCCTCGCTCTGCTCCTCATCTCTCCTCTCCAGTTTCTCTCTGTCTCTGGCAACAAGTGAGGATTTGCCTTTTCTTCCCTGTGACTTGACTCTCTGGGAGTGTCCATGAGGGGAGGGGTAGGACTGGAGCACTTCACCACTCAAGCTGCCGTCACAAGTGAGCTCAAAAAAGAGGCATTTCCAAGGCTCTGCTCTGTTATCCAGTGGCTCCTCTGGAGATGAGTCCAATCCCATCCCATTTCTCTCCCCTGCCTGACAGGGGGTGAGGAATCCTGCCAGGACTTGGAGCAAAGCAGGGCACCAAGCACAGCCAACCTCACCAAAGTTCTCACATGGGAGGTGTCCCAGGAGAAACTGGGAAAGAGCAGGAGGTACTGGCTGCATTTGAGAAGGGTCTGGAGGAGATGGGGAAGCTTCTGGAGCAGGTCCTGAGCAGAGTCTGGGTCTCCAGTAGGTGCTGCACTTCCAGGAGCACCAGGCACCAGCCTGGCCACACACACCCAGTGCCTGCAGGGTGCCCACACTGAGCTGGCTGCTCCCAGCAGCAGGAATGGAGCAGCACAGCTCTGGAGGGACAAGGAGGACAGCAGGAGGTGGAAAAAGCTGATTTTCCCACAGCAGCTCTTCCTGCAGCTGATTCCAGCAGCTGCTGCAAGGTGGGAGGCTGTAAAACACCCCTGGGCATGGCACTTGTTGCTGCATCCTGCCGGTGTATCCTACACCTTGGCCCCAGAAAAATGGGATGGGCTTTAAAGTCCTCTCCAACCCAAACCAGTCTGGGATTCCATGATTAAATTACCAAGGGAAATAACACCAGAAATGACTGAAGCTGTGTCCTGTCATGGCCAGTGAGAAGACCTAAAATTGTCACCAACAGACTTTGTACCTGGTGGCACATCTTCTGCCCTTTGGAAGACATCCCAGTTATGAATAAAAATCCAGAGATCTTCCCTGGCTGGTGAGGGGAAGAGGTGGCTGCAAACCCATTTTACCACATTCCCATCTTCTCATTCCTTTTTTGCCTCAGCTCCCATCCTGGGCAGTAGCCCAAGGCCACCAACACCCAGGAAAAAAGGACAAGTGAAATAATACTACTACTACTAATAATAATAGTAGTAGGGAAAAAAAAAGAGCCCTTGGCTCATTAAGAGCATTTTAGCAGATGTTTAACCCTAAGCAGCCTTAAAATATTTGCTGAGCTTAGACTAAACCTAATTTCAAGCCCCATTTCAAGCCCATCCTGTGATGTTTTACTCTATTTGGCACTCATTAAACACAAAGTATCATATGAATATCATCAGCACAAGTCACCCACTGGGGTGTCATCCATCAGAACAAGGCTTTAAATCCTGGCTGGGAGCATCTTTTCCTTGTCTCAGGACTGAGTGGCACGTGGGGTGTGACAGGATGGCATCTGATGGCCAGGTGATTGTGCTGAGGGAAGGAAAGGCTCTGAGCTGGCCCCTCCCAGGCATAGTCAGCTGAAGGAACACAGCTCTTGGGGCATCTCTGTGCTCAATTTGCTCTTTTCTGCTCTGGTTTTGAATACATTTCATAATACTATTCTGCAGAGAGAAGAAAAATTGCCAAAAATTACCAAAAAATGGTCTGTGATGCCCAGTCTGTTTCTTTACAGATCCAACTGCTCTCAGCAAACACAGCTGAAGGTAATGATGGCATTTTGAAGTGAATCAATTTGGATGTAGATGTGTTTTTCATAACTTCCGTTCCTTCAGAGCTCAATCTCTTCTCTGCTCGCGGGGAGCTGGCTGTGCTTCCCCCCCACATCAGCCATGGACCAGACACTTCCAGTCCTTCCACTGTCAGCACAGCCCACAAACCAAAACTGTCCCTTGGCATCGCAGCCAGATCCCAAAGGAATGAGATTTCCATGAGATTTCCATCCAATTTCACGGCAAAGGGGTGACCTTGCCTCCTCTGAGCTGTGTTAATAGGTATCTGCATAGAAACCAGGGCCTGCTGTGGGTCCTTCATTGCAGCCCAGGGGAAGGAAATGGGGGATTTCTGCTCCCTAAAGCAGGCAGAAAATAAAACCAGTCCTAAACCAGGAGTGGCTGTTGGCAAATAGCCAAGGGGGGACATTGTGACCCCTTTGATCCTCCAGCCAGTGGCCCTGAGGTCAGAAACTCCTCCAAGGACTGGTGTCATCCCCAAAGGGACAGCTGTGTCTATGCCTTCCATATAGCAAAGCAGGTGTTGATCAGGACTTGCTCCCATGCTGGGGCCTGAGCTCCTTCTTGACCCTCCTGCAGGGACCCAGGAGGTGACCAGAGTGGTGCTGATGAAGATCCATCAGGTGGTGCTGGAGCTGGGACCATCCCTGTGCCCAGAGCACCAGGAGGAAGCCAGCATTGAGCAGGGGGATTTGTGGGGATAGGGATGATGGGGATGGGGATGGGGATGGGATGGGGATGGGGATGATGGGGATGGGATGGGGATGGGGATGGGGAAGTGCTGGGCAGAGCTGATGGGAGCACAGGGGGGATGAATTGTCTGGGTAGCTCCATGACCAGCACTTCCCTGGAAAAGCTGTCCCAGGTGGCTGCTGGGTGCTGGCTGGGATTTTGGGAAAGCTGTGGGCAAGGATTAATCGAATTAGGGGAGGAAGTTGCTCCTTCATAGAGGGAGGTAGTCTGTGAGAGAAGTTCCTTGCTTTGGGACTGCTGGGACCCAAGGACTCCAAGGGGGAGAAGGCCCCTGCCCAGTCCTCCAGCCCAGGGAGGAGGCCACCACCACAGGGAAGCTGCTGAAAGCCCTGCAGAGAAACCCAAACCTCCAGGAGCAATGCCACCCCATCCTGGAGGATGTGCTGGAGGAAAAGCTGGAAAGCCTGCGGGTTAACAGGGTACATCTGTTCTTCCAGTGCCACCAGCCCTGAGCTGCCCCAGAGACACAAAAACTGTCCCAAAGTGTTTCATTTTTATGGGGGGAGCAACCCAAACAGCAGTAAAAACACATCCATCTGCAAAAATCCCCCTCTGAGAGGCAGATGGGATGGTGAAGGCAGAACCACAGGGTCGCACGGGGAATAAACTTCCCTGCTCCCACCTCTGAGGCTGCTCTTCAGGATCTCTCCAGCCAATCTGCCTCTCCTGTGCTAAATCACCCAGGGCTCCTTCTCCCTGGGGGAAGGAGCGCGTGTGAGGGCAGGGCGGGGATTTCAAGGGGACATTCACCCTCCCAAAGCCCTCTTGATGCCCAGCATATTGAGCGGCTTTTCCTGCCAGCATTCCCGAGCTGCTCCCGGCGATACAACACCACCACCTAGCAGGGCGCGGAGCCGGTGCAGGGATGCAGCCAGCCCGGGATGCTCCATCGGCCCCGGGCTGCAGAGCAGGGCAGCCCTTCTGCTCCGGGTGCCAAAAGCACCAGGAAAAAGCCGGGACTTACCCCGCGGATGTTTCCTGGAGGTGTTTTTAAGGAGCGCTCCTGGGTTTGTTTCACTGCATGGCATGTCCCCCTTTCCCTGGCACATTACTTGGGGATGCTGAGGGGGTGTGGGAGGCAGCAGAGGTGCCCAAAGCCAGACCCATACCCCCTCCATTCCTCATCTTTTACATCCCCTCGAGCTTTTAAAACCCCCTCGAGCTGTAAGTACCTCCCAAGAGAAAATGCTGCACATTCCCCCTTGCCCCAGCCTGAAAATTCCCAAATTGACTCTTCAGC